CCAGTGGAGAAAGAAGGTGGCTTTATATGAGTGAGGTCTTCTAGTAAGTGCCCTACGTTGCAAAAGGGCTTGAACTCGGAGAAGGGAAGAAATGCTGACTGGTCTTAAACTAACTTCTAACCACAGTGACCACAGACCCCAGTGAGGGTGGTGGATGAGGGTGATGAGCTTACCAAGAAGAGACAAAGGGGGAACCTCCCTATACGCAGAGGCACAAGTTATCGTGAAGTTCCTAGAAGGGAAGAAAAGCCAAAGAGAGGGTGAGTGAGGACCCGTTCTAAGAATAATTCTGGCCCTCTTGATCCCATCCCGAGCGAAGCCCTAAACGTCACCTCTCGGCTCACAGCAATCTCGCTAGTAAATGAGCGCAAATATTTGGCCCTTCCTAAGGGAACAGACAAAATTACAATGGTGCCGAGTAACTTGGCCCCGGTTGGGAAGGAAACACATCTGAATCCTGTGAAGTAGAGCTGCGCCCCTGGGAACACCTCCAGGTTCTGCTCTGTGGTAAGTTTGGGGCTCCCAGGATGTCTTCCTGCCTTCTGTCTTTCCTCGGCTTTTTTCTTCCTTCTTTCTTTTCCCCTCCTCCTCCTTGTTCTTCCTCTTCCTCACTTGTCTATACTTAGATTTCAACACACATTATCAGCCTCCCCCGCCCAGCAAACTCAGTAACACCTGTTCTGTGCTTTGCTTTTCCCCCTCATTTAACAATAAATCTTGTGAACCTCCCCAGATGAGCCCAGATAAACTGCCTCACTCTTCCCAACAGCTGTGTGGTACCCTGTTGTTGGCTGCACCAGGATTTACCCAGGGCCCTGGTTTTAATGGCACCCGGAGTCTGTCAAGAGTAAAAAGCATTTCCGAGTAGTTCCCTGGCCACGCACATGTCTGCGGGGCCTGCTGTGTGTTGAGCCATGGGGAGAGGTGGGGAGCCCCTTCCCTTGGGAACTGGGAGCCTAGCAGAGGAGGTGCGCACGTAGGAGAGGGGCACGGGCTCTATGTACCAGGGGGCGCAAACACAGGGCCGCGGGGGCCCTTCCTGGGGCTCCGTGCTGCTCCTGGCTTCCGCTTCTCTGCCGAGGTCGGAGGTAAAAAACCAGCTCTCCTCCAGAATGTGGCCCCAGCTCTGGGTGTTTATAGTCAGGGGAGGGAATTCTGTAGGAAGGAAGGAAAAATCAGAAACCCCAGTTCCAAGATATTACAGATAGAGCACGGGGCAATCACAATAGCTGTCAAGCCTGGAGGAAGAGGGGTTGTTTATCCAAGGCAGGAGGCTCCCAAGGGGCAGGAAAGGTGGCCAAAGCATCTTGCTCAACCCCATCCCTGCCACAGCCTAGCACATTCCCCTCCTGGCACTCCGGATGGGGCTGCCCCTCCCATGCCCTTCCCTTGTCTCTTCTGGATCCAGCGGGGGCTGCCACAGGGGGACACCTGCCCAGCCCTCTGAGGGGGTGAGCACAGGCCTCAGTGCAGCAGATCCTGCCTTCGAGGTGCCGGACTCTGCATGTGGCTGAACATGAACAGAGTCACCCAAACTGTGTCACCTCCCTGGCAAATCCCCTTTGGAAGGGATGGCGCAGGCAGACACCGCCAGGGCTGGGAATCCTGAGGAAAGGCCCAGAAGAAGGGGTGGGCCTCGTCTTCCAATATTGCCTTAAACAGAACGGAGGCAGGACAGACAGATGGCCCCAGGACTTCTGGAGGGAGAGGTTTGGCCTTAGAGGGTTTTTCCTGCTCTGGCTCCACAGGGGAACAGTTTGCTGGGCCTCGAGACATCCGGAGCGTGGGTGTTCGTGGTGGCAGTGTTTAGGTGTGGTGAGGGAGAGAGGGCTGTGCTCATTCTGCAGAGGCCAGAGCTGGTGGAACTGAGGGCAATTATCGCTGAACCAGGGTCGCCTGGCAGGGCTCTTCGCCCGGTCCTGGTCACGCAGGTTCAGCCAGGTTCGGAGCATCTTCCACAGCCCCGTGGCTTTCCCGACACCAGCCAGTCGCTGAGCCTCACAAGTTCCCCTGGTTTCTGACTTCCGCCTCCTCCCTGTCTGTGCCTTCCGTTCCGAGGGCCCCGTGTGCCTCCAGCGCCCCCACTCCCCTACTGCACCTCAGGCCCGGGTGGAGCGGCCACGGGATCCTTCCAGAAACGCTGCTTTCCTCGGGCCTCTCCGGCTCCGGGCTCCCTGCTGCTGCCCACGCTCAGCACAGCCCCTCGGCCTGGCCCTGGAGGGCAGAGCCTGTGTCTTCCTGCGCCTGGCACGGAGCAGGTGCCCAGGTCATGAAGGAGCTGTGATGGAGATGGACAACCGGCCAGGGCACCAGTAGACGGTGACATCTGTCCGCTCCCCGCCATGCGGACGGAGGACGGGCAGTCAGACCGGGGATCTGCACGAGGGAGACGGTCAGCTCTGGGATGACTGGGCAGCTGTGGCAATGGCAGCGGGAGGCACGATGGGGAAGGGTTGGCTGTAGGGAGGAGAGGGGCGCTGGATTCGTGGAGGTGGAGGGGGGCGGCTGAGGCTAAGGGGTGTTTATAGGGTGGCACCCATGGGGACAAGAGGAAGAGAAAGCACATGTTCCGAGAGGAGATGGACCGTCTGGGACAATTTTGTGTGGACTCCACCAGGGAGGCAGTAAGGAGCGAGGGAAGAATCCAGTCTGCATAAGTCTAATGTCTTTTTCTGGGAGCGCCCCCTTAGCGAGGGAGCAAGAGGAGACAAGCCTGGCCTGGGTGGTCCAAGGCCGAAGAGAGAGGATACGGGAAGTCTCCCTCGGAAGGAGAGGTGAACAGGGGGCGGGCCATGCACCTGTCGGCCTCTTCACACCCCTGAGCTGGGTGGTGCTCACCATTCATAGGATCCCTATTTTACACACAAGGGCCCCGAAGGCCAGACAGGTTGAGGTAAGGGAACTTACCCTGTGTGGGAACAAACCCACATAGACAGTACAGGGTCAGAGCTGAGATTTAACCAAGGCCCGTGGGATCCCCCACTCTCTAGGCCAGCACCACACCAAAGAAGGCAGTACCCACCCGGGAGTGGCTGGGCAGAAATAGGTATTAGGATCTAGAAAGAAGGCCAGGAGTGGTGGGGTCAACAGGTTCGTGAGACTGTGGAGCGGTGTTGAAAAGCCACGTTGGAATCAAGGTGGAGGACAGACTCTGAGAGCCTTAGCCAAGGGCTAAAGTCACCCCCACTGCTCCCACAGCCTGTGCCCCCCCCCCCCCGTCTCCTCCTCCTTTGGTTCTGCCCTGCCCCCTCCTTGGAACCACACCCTACATTTGTGTAGCCCCTTGTTCATACGGCGTATACACATGAGTTTAAGAAAGCCAAGTAGAGATGGGCGCCTGGGTGGCTCAGTTGGTTGGGCGACTGCCTTCGGCTCAGGTCATGATCCTGGAGTCCCGGGATCGAGTCCCGCATCGGGCTCCCTGCTCGGCAGGGAGTCTGCTTCTCCCTCTGACCCTCCTCCCTCTCATGCTCTCTGTCTCTCATTCTCTCTCTCAAATAAATAAATAAAAAAAAAATCTTAAAAAAAAAAAAAAAAAAAGAAAGCCAAGTAGAGCCTGGGGCGCAGCAACTTGTTTATCTCAAAGGGGGAAGCACCCACGTGGGCCCCTGCCGCCTGGGGATTTGGCCCGGAGACGAAATCCCCAAGTTTGCCCAGGAATCACCGGCCTGCCACCTAACTGCCAGCCAGCTCACCACCCCCGTGCAATCGCTAGCCTGACGTCTAGGTGGCACCAAAGCCTCACACTGATTCCTCCCAGGCTGGGGAGCCCGCGGGTACCCCGCAGGCACCTGCTCAACCCAGCGAGTTCGTGCTCAGCTTTGTGGGTTCAGTTCCTCCAAGTACACAGCAGCTGCAAGCTTGTAATTCCTTTCTTCCTTCTACTTTGCCCCATCCCTGGCCTCCTTTTGGAGGTCCTCGCCCTCTCCCCTCTCCCCTCTGCCTCAGGGACATCCCAAAGCAAGGACTCCATCTGTCAAATGTAAAAAAAAAACTACTGAAAAGAGAATACAACAAATAACATGAAATTCACACTTAAACTTCAGGGTTTTTTTGTTTTTGTTTTTTAAAGATTTTATTTATTTATTTGAGACAGAATGAGAGACAGAGAGCATGAGAGGGAGGAGGGTCAGAGGGAGAAGCAGATTCCCTGCCGAGCAGGGAGCCCGATGCGGGACTCGATCCCGGGACCCTAGGATCATGACCTGAGCCGAAGGCAGTCGCTTAACCGACTGAGCCACCCAGGCGCCCCTAAACTTCAGTTTTTTAAAAAAAAATTATCACAGCAATATTTTCACATGGTTCAAAACAATAAGCTCCTGTTGAACCTCTTCAGATAATTAAAATACTGTAGTAACTTCTCGACTCTAGGAACACCACCGGCGTATCTGCTCCGGCAGATCACCAGCCGGACACTCTGTTCTGATACGGCTTTGAAGTGTGGCTAGTTAACAAAACGAGAATTCATTCATTCATCCATCCATCCATTCATTCATTCTGTCTGTCTGTCTGCAAGTATCTACTGTGAGCCACTAGGTCGGGCACTCCCGGAGGCCAGAAATTAGACTAGGTCCCTTCTGGCCAAGCGCACATCCCACGGTGGAGATAAACTCCAGGAATGCCAGGTGCTAAGTCCTAGGAAGAGAAATAGAGCAGGATTCCGGGTAGGGGTGATGGGCAGGCGTCAGTGGTCCAGAAAGATCGCTCTGAAGGAGTGATTTTGAGCAGAACCCTAAACACGACCTGGGGAGCAATTGGTGGGGGCGGAAATATCCCTGTCGGCTGTGGAGCGGCCCCGTCCCCCGCGAGGTGAGAGCGAGAAAGTTGGGATTCCTGGCTCTGCTCGGCCTTCGGCCGGCGCCCCCGCCGCCCCGGGCTCGCTCGCTGCCTCCGTGGGAGGGAGGGTCCCCGTCACGTTCCCTGGGGCCCCGCCCCCGGCCCCCCTCCCTGCACGGCGCACGGCGCACGCCGCCCCCCACCCCACCGCGGGGGGGACCGCGGAGCCGCGGCCACGCGCAAACGTAAAGTTTCTGCGGCTCAAAGTGACGCAAAAATTCTTGAAGAGCTCTTTGGCGGCGGATATCTAGAGATCAGACCATGTGAGGGCACGAGAGTACAAATACGGCCGCTCGGGCGCCCGCTCCCGCACAGGCAGCCGCGCCCCCGCTGCCTCGAGGGCGCGAGGGCCGCCCCGCCTCGGAGAGCCCCGGACCAGCCTGCGCACGGACTCCCGCCAGGTGGGTCGGCCTGCCTCGCGCGGGTCCGCGCTCCTGCCCGCACACCCCATCCCGCGGGGCCTCCCCGGGCGCGGGCGCGGGCGTGTGTGCGCCGCGCGCTGGGCTCCGCGCCCCGCCGCCGCCCTCGCCGCGAGGACGGGCGAGGACGGCCGGCGCGCCCGGGGACGGGGCGAGCGCCGAGGGGGCTGGGGGCGGCGTTGGGGGGCTCCTTTGTCTACCGCACGCGGGGGCTGTTCCGATGGCCGGGGGACCGGAGCAAGACCCTGTGAAGACGGGCTCAGGCTAGGCGCTGTTGTGCGCGTCGGGGAAAGTTGCTTTAGTTTCAGCTCGCTGCTTGCGCTGGGTCCTCCCTTACCCACGGCGTGCAGGTGGCTTCGTGCAGAGGCACTTCTGCAGGGAGGGTTCTGGTTGACAGCCCAAGTATCTGGAGAAATCTCTAAGTGGACTCTTACGTGGGACGAGTCTCCGGGCGCCTGGGTTGTTTTCACTGGCAGAGCCGGTGCACGCTCCGCCGTCGGCCGGGCGGTTCCGAACGTACGCGAAACTCAAACTGCAGCGAGCTGCTGGGCACGTTCAAGTGCGTACCCGTCGATTGCTAAAGAAAATGTGTGCATTTAAATATGTCTTTTGAAAACACTCTTTGGAGCTGAAGAACCCAAAGGAGCACGTTTCCTTTTGCACTGGGTCTTTTGCATAAAGAATTTCTTGTTCAGTTGGGGTTCTGAAGAATTTGAGAGGGGTAGAATTGCTAAGAGGACATTACAAACGCGCGCGGGTGTGTTTATGATCAATTTTGTCCAGAAAAATGAACCAGGTCAATGGATTATTTATGAGCCTGCTAGCTCTCATCATGGTAAGACTAGATCAAATATTTAATGTGTTTTGCCTTCAGTTACATAGGAAAAATGTCTAAGGAAGCAACATTGGGATTTATGTTTAATGCAGGCCCACTATGGGCGGCATTAGCATTTGGGTCTTGAGCGGTGGAGGGAAACACACAGCTTTGACTCTGTCCCATTCCCTGCGTTTGTGTGGAGTCCCTGATGCCAGGAAGGTGGCTTTCCTACCACAGACTGGGTTGGGGGTGGCTGCCTCCAGCGCCACCGAGGAGACTCAGGTTCTGAGGAGGCTGGTGCAAACTAAGCAAACCATTTTGTGCATGAGCTTTTCTTTTTTTCACTGAACTTGAACAAGAGCAGATCGAGACTGCTTCACAATTAATTAGAAGGCCCCTCAGCACTCTGGTGACCCGTGTGGGACGTTTCAGGAATCTAAGAGCAGCACAGATACTCAAACCCATTTCTTTCGGTCTCTTGCTTAAGAAACATAAACTAGGGGTGGGGAGAGGGGTGACGGTGGGGACAGAATAATGTTGAAGTTTTAATGGAATCAGCAAAAGCTCAGAAATTCCTCTGTGGGGGATTTTTAGAGTTGTCTGAGCATAATGATGACGCTCGGAGAAGCATGTCCAAGAGTTTCACGAGTGGGCGATGTGGCCGTGGGGTGGGGGTGCTTGGCTGGTGCTTGGCTGGAGTCTCCGAGGGCAGGCGTGCAGGAACGTCCCCAATGTCCCCTTCCGAAGAGAAACACAGATGATTCCAGAAATTAAGCCAGTAAGTGGCAGTTCCTTCTCCTGCGTATCATCAAATGGTTTGATTAGAGAGAACAAAGGCAGGGCCGCCTGAAGAAGTTTAATTTCAATTTGGCTTCATGAATCAACAGGATATGGTCACGATTTGACTTTTTTGAAGAAAGATGCCTGTGTGACCAAAGGGAGAATTATGCATTTTTTTCTGTCAGAAGGTACCTCACGCCTTAGCTCTTCCCATCCCAGGTCCGCTCCTCTGGCTGTCACAGTCCTCAGCTGTAATTGAGGGCAGGAGGGGGCCCTGCGTGACATGATGTCCAAGTCTCCTCCACTTCTTCTGTGACTGTGACCCTAATCTCTCTGCTTTAAACAAACACGACTTGAAAGGATGCTGCAAAATGCCGGAGCACCGGGACTCTGCCCAGATGTTGCCATTAATCAGGGTGCCCTGAGGAACCCCCAGGCGTCGCTTGAAGGCAGAGGTTTGCACAAGTCAAGTCTTGCACCTCATCCACCCACAGGCAACAGGAGCCCGAGTTTCCCCGCCCCCCACATCCCCTTTGCAGCATGCCCAGCGTGGGGTTCAGTGGAAACGGCCTCCAGGCAGTATGATTCGGGCCGTGCCCATTTTCTTTCCAGGTTTGTGGTCTCCCATGTTAACAGCGACAGTCTTGGGTGTGGAGTTAAAGATCTGATAAATCGCCCCACTTCTGCTTTCCTGGGGCAAGTGAGACTTACTCATCCTGCTCCTGTGGGGAATTAGTCTCTGGGCTTAACCTTCTAGCACCCTAAGGAAAGAGAATAGTCATCTTTCCAGGAGGGACCCAGGTGGAAAAATAGATGACAGTGGCCTGTGGGAGATAACTGGCAGAAGTGATTTTCCCTGAGCAGAGGGTGAACTGCTTTTCTAGGGTGGGCGCAAGACCCACCAGAGCTGATGGAGCCCCCATGTTTCTCGGCGCAGCTCATCATACTGACTTGGGTCCATTTTCAGAAATGGTCTCTGAGTAACCGCTCTGTGCAGGGGCATTCCCTCAGCCTGACCAGGGCTGGCTGTCCGTGAGTGGGAAGATCAGCGCGCCTTTACTGGATGTCCATAACACGTTTTTAAAGCAAGGGAGTGTGCTCCCAGCCCTGTGTCCATGTGGTGACAAAATGTGGAGAGATGAGACCAGTGTGAGGCCATTTGTTATCTTTCCTCCTTTCTTTGGGCTCCCCTGGAAGCTCGCGGATCTCCCTTGCTTCCACCCCAACCTTGGACCAACGGTACTTGTTAGTGGGTATTTAAGCCATAGGCTTTTTAAGTTTTTTGGTTTTTTTTTTTAAGATTTTATTTATTAGAGAGAGAGAGAGAGAGATCATGAGCAGGGGAGGGGCAGAGGGAGAAGCAGGCTCCCTGAAAAGCAGGGAGCCTGATGCAGGGCTCCATCCCAGGACCCTGGGATCATGACCCGAGCCAAAGGCAGACCCTTTACCAACTGAGCCACCCAGGCACCCCTAGGCTTTTTACTTTTAATTAATTTAATTTAATTTAATTTTATTTTTAAGATTTTATTTTTAAGTAATCCCTATACCCAGTGTGGGCTCGAACTCTCAACCCTGAGGTCAAGAGTTGCACGCTCCACTGACTGAGCCAGCCGGTGCCCCTAAGCCATAGCGGACTGGATATCCTGTCAGGAATCCCAGGACCCCCCTGGACTGCAGGGCGAGAGATGAACACAAGCGGTGTGGAGATGTGGAGGTCATGGGGCTGGGCCAGCCCGGTGGCCAGGGTCTCCAGGCACTGACAAGCAGGAGAGATGGTATGGGGAAGGACTCCTGGGACCCTGAGGTCCAGCTCTTTCTGCCATTATTTGAGGGAAGGAGGGAAGAAGTGAGGGGTGGGGTTGGGGGGAGGGGGTGACAAGGCCAAGTGGCAGATCTGGGAGAGCCAGCTGCGTGCTCCAGGAGAATCCAGAGCTGGCGGCTGGGAGGCGAGCGGATTAGTGGCAGCGAGTCAGCAGGGGGCCTTGGCCTTCTTGTGTTTTTGTGTGATTTTTCTGGGCACATCCAAAGAAAAAGAACATTTTCTTTCCATTACTACTGAGCTGCTGAATGAAGCTGAAATAAACAGAGCTTTCCCCTCTCACTAAGGGACTCCCTCGAATTTAGGGAGGGGCAGAGCTGGAAGGGCTCCGATCCCGGGGTTTACTCCAGCCCGCCTGCGGCTGTGAGGGCTCAGCCGGGCCCACCACTGCTACCCTCCCGCACCTCTGGTCTTCCCTCTCCCCTGGTGTGTGGTTTTTAAGCACTAATCAAGCTAGCTGGCTCTGTTCCCTGTTTCAGAGGAAAGGAGCGGGGCTGGAGGAAAGGGGAGGGAGGCCCTGCCCAGAGAGAGAGGGAGGAGAGGGGAGATAATGCTATTCTGGGCGCGCCCCAGGCCCCCGCAGGGACATCTGACTGACTTGAGGTTTCCCAGCGCTCCAAAGTCTAGAATGATTTCCCTCCCTCCACCCCAGTTTTTTCTTTTAAAACATTTCAACTGAAAAGTCAGGGAAATGGTCCAGCGAACCTTCTTCCCTCAGAGCCGCCCGTCATTAACGTTTTGTCATGTTCGTGTGTGACTCGCTCTAATTTTTGCCTGTGTAATATATATAGTTTGATACATTCTGTATCATATGTGTGACAAAATTCATGTAACAATGAGACAATCTATATATTATATAATTTTTTTGTTGAACCTCAGAGTTTGCAGACATCTAAATACTTCACCTCTTGGGGCGCCTGGGTGGCTCAGTCGTTAAGCGTCTGCCTTCAGCTCAGGTCATGATCCCAGGGTCCTAGGATAGAGCCCCACATTCCCCCACATTCGGCTCCCTGCTCGGCGGGAAGCCTGCTTCTCCCTCTCCCACTCCCCCTGCTTGTGTTCCCTCTCTTGCTGTCTCTCTCTGTCAAATAAATAAATAAAATTAAAAAAAAAAAAAGTTAAATACTTCACCTCTTGTCTCCTAAGAACAAGGACATCCGCCTACATAAGCAGAGCCCCATTATTATCACATTTGGGAAGCAGTTTGATAAACTACTATCAAATATACAAATATTGGGCACCTGGGTGGCTCAGTCGGTTAAGCGACTGCCTTCGGCTCAGGTCATGATCCCGGGGTCCTGGGATCGAGTCCCGCATCGGGCTCCCGGCTCAGTGGGGAGCCTGCTTCTCCCTCTGACCCTATCCCCTCTCATGCTGCTTCTCTCTCTCTCTCTCTCAAATAAATAAATAAATAAATAAAATCTTAAAAAAAAATACAAATATTACAGTCCTTATTTAAATTTCCCCCACTATCTCAGTGGTGTCCTCTGTAGCATAAAGGGTTACTTCTTGAGACCACAGACTCCCAGGGGTCGAAAACCACCTCTTGCCCTCACCTCTGTGCAT